CAGAAAGTCCCAAAAAAAAAGAAAAATTAAAAAAAAAAAAAAAAAAAAAAAAGAACCACGAGCAGGGGGCACTTGGTTTGGGGGTTCAGTGTCCCACCTTTGTCCCTCATCCGCTCACAGAGACCCCAGAACCAGAACCACTTTGTGGGGAAGGCGTGTGGAGGGGCAGCTGCCCCAGGTCTCAGCAGCAGGACAGCTCTGTGTCCAGGCTGCCCCCCAGCCCCCCGCGGGTCTCTGTCTCAGCTGTGGTCCTCTGCCCCCCCCCCCAGCCCCCCTCGGGTCTCTGTCCCGGTCGTGGTCTTCCGCCTCATTGGAATGCATGCCCCAGCCCCCAGCCCCCAGCCCCCAGGGGGTCGGCGGCCCCCACCTGGACCAGGAGCCCCGCAGGAACTCCTCGCTCTTCCGGGAAAGTCAGCTCCTTCCGTAAGGGGAGCCGTGGGTGCCGTGGGTGCCGTGGGTGCCGTGCTTGTCTGGAGCTGGGCTCCAGGCATCAAGGAGCTAAACCCGCCTTCCCCGACATCCTGATGCCAGGGGACGTACGGGCCTCCCCTAGGCCGTCGGGCGGTCAGGGGACTGAGTGCAACGTTGTGCGAGGGCATCTGGGACGAGGCAGTTTGCTCGTGACGGAAGCTGATATTCCTTCAAACGCCCTGTCTCCTGTCCAGGGACGCTTCAGATGGGTGGCTGTGGAGTCTCTTTCTTATTGAATCTAATGGGGACCAAATCACGCATTCCCCTAACGGAGCGGTGACGAGAACGTCAGACTCCTGACGGCACACGCACGTGCACAGTCCCTAGGATCCATTGTCCCCAACTACTGCCGTGGACGTGAGAGCCAGCGACCTCTGCTCACAGTTTCCTTCGATCTGAGTCTCAGGGCTCCGTGGGTCCGCCCTTTCTCAGTGGGACCCACGGCCGTCATCTGGGGAACGTGGAAAACCAGCGTCCGTGGGAGCTGTGGAGACGGTCGGCCATGCTGTGTCCACACAGACCCCTGCAAACTGTCACGCGGGCCATCGTCCCGTCTGTCCTGGACTCCCCGTCCGGGGCACAAACCCGACACACCAGGCATCCCCAGAGGAGGCGGGCAGAGGCGGGCGTTTGCCATCGTCGCGCAGAGGCAGTTGTAATAACTCCGTCGTTAAGGTGAAGAAGTAACCCAAAACGGTCACTCCCGATGGTCCCAGGGAAAAAGAGCTCTTTTTCGGGTTTGTTTCTGCCCAAACGACATACGGATTTTCTCTCCATTTTTTCTCCTGCTGTAATTTCAAACTTGGACACACATTTCTCCAGCACATTTCAAGAACCAGAGCACTTTTAAAATTAATTTTTAATAATGTGTAATAATCTGAGTGGCCCTGGTCTGTGTGCAGAATTAGAATTCCTCTGATAGAAAAAGAAATATTTGTGCAGAGTTTTATGAGCAAAGTTGACCTGAGGCTTCCTGAGGCTGATTGAGAAATTGCAGGCAAGGCAGCTTGCTTAACCCCTTCCGCGTCCTCTCCCTCCCCGGGCCCCGCCGGGTGCCCACAGAGGAGCCAGCGGCCGGGCTCCGGGACAGACAGACCCTGAGCGGGAACACAGGGGTTTCATGTAGATGCCCGGACACCACGAGGTCACAGGGGGACACTTTCATCCCACAGACACCGAGCCCCCACGTCCCCGAAGATCGTGGGAGGACGCCCCGTCTGCCTGTCCGACGCGCCCGCTCGGATGAGGCCAAGGAGCCATGGAGGCACCTTGCTCCCCAGCCCTGGCTCGGCACCCTCAGCCAGGCCTGTCACTCTGAGGCGGGGCGGGGCCCTAATCCGGCAGCGGGCATGAGACCAGTGTCTGGTCCGTCCAGAGCCATCTGCACCACAGACGTCAGCCGAGGGTTGAGAAGGACATCCATGCTATCCCAAAATAGGAAGCCGGAAACAACGTCCGTGTGTGTCCCTGGAGAACTTGGCCGTCGGGGAGGATGGACCTCGCCCCAGCGAGGAACTGGAGTCAGACCTCCCTGCCCTGGTTCTGCTAATGCTAAGTACGGGTTTCAGGCACTGCCAGGGACTCAGACACCGAGTCTAGGGCTCAGAGGATGCTCTTCCCAAAACCAGGCTGAGAAGAAATTCGTTTCCAGCCCCTGCTCCCCGAGGGCAAACAGACCTGGAACCAGGGCTACAGAACGGAGCTCGGAAGAAGAGTGCAGGCGGCCGCCCAGGGGGCTTCCTCACTTTCTGCTGGGCCGCTAAGGGAGGCCCTTGGAGCGTCGGCGTCCCGGCCGGGCGTGGACTGAGCACGTGAGGGGAGCACGGCAGTCGCAGGCGTCAGGGCCGTAAAAAGAGCACACTTGTTGCTGGAGTCCAAACAAGAGAAAAACCAGCAGGCCCCTCTGAAAGCATCAGTTGATTTTCACCCGTGCTTCGGAGAAGACCCTCCCGAACTCTCCTTAACCAACCGCTTGCCACGATTCCGTTCTGTGGAACGCTTGCCTGAAATAGCCCGTCCTTTTCAACCAGCGCCTGCTCTCCGTCGCGGCCAGAAACAAAGCGCACGTGACCGTGGACCCTTGGGCGGGGGCCGCGCCCGGCGACCACGCCCTGGCCGTGACCCCTGGGGAGACACGGGCTGCTGGGGCCACGTGGGCACGTGCTCGCGCCCCTGGGGAGCAGGCAGAGGTGGTGACTCCTTCCCCAGGTCTCCGTCTGTCACCTTCCTGCTTGCCCTCTCAGGCAGGAAGTGGGGTTTTTATCAGGAAACCGAGGAGCTTGTCTCCAGCCCGTGGGTGGCTGGGTGCCCCCTGGCATACGGCATCCACGCCCCCGGTCCTTCTCCTGCGGGTCCTGAGCCTGCTGCAGAGAGGACACTGACACGTGCAGTGAGCAGGGTCCCGTGTCCCCCAGGCCCCCTGCTTGGGGACAGACGGTGACCTG